TACAGACATAAATAAAGCAGCTGTATTCGCCATACAGGAAACACACATTTAAAACGGTTTTGCCTGCCGTTTTTGTGTACACAAGCATTCATCAATGGTTCGGAAAGTGGCGCTGTACCTTAATAATATAAAGGCTTGTATTTGCGTGCATTTCCTGTTCGGAAAGTGGCGCTGTACTGAGAGTGGAGGGTGTCCTGAGATTAGCGCCTGCAGGCAGGCTCCATGGAGCTGTCAGCTCCGGACTGCGCAAAATGCGTACATGAAGCGCTACGTCATGAACGCAAGAAATCTACCCTCGTGGGGGTGCGCTCATGTGATTGGCTTAGAATTGAGGAGACATCTGATTGGCTATAGATAGAAATAATTACAAGTACGAATCGGCTGACCGTCAGAGGAGTCTCAAAAAACCCACACACGAATGCACAGCGATCCGTGCACAGAAAGCGGGTTGTGTTTGCAGGTTCAGGGGATTTAAACGGAAAACTAATATGTGAGGATCAAAAATACACATGTAAAACTTTTTTCTGTATTTGGATTTTATTTACATGTATATGAAACGGAATACATTTGTGTGTGCATTGAAAAACACAAGTGTGGATCCGGAAATACAAGTGTGAATCCTTTTGCGGATCATGAAATACAAGTGTGAATCCTTCTGTGTGCATGTGTGTATTATGAGACTGTTCTGAGCCCATACATTTGAACCCTTTGGATTTTGTACCAACACAAAATGATAAACTGTAAAATATAAAATGTACTTAATCTTAATCTAAACAGCTATCTGAATTTGAAGGCAGTATCTGTATGCACCGGGACAAGATTTTCCTATCGGAGGCATTCTGGTTCCATTTTGAGTCTAGTTAATAGTTTGTCTAGTATTGACCAATCACGTTGGTAAAGAGGTGTAAAGAGCAAAAGAGGCTGAACCATTGGCCGATATGCAGTCTTTGAACACTTTAGCTATCGTATGACAATAGTTTTGCTTTTTATTCCTCTATATTGAAAATAAAGAGGTATAAAATGAGATTGTTATTAGGACTGTGACAACAACCGCTGCACGGAAGGAAGTTTTGACCCAGTATCCCCTAGCATAACCTGAACCCCAGAACAATATTGCCTCTAAATTAGCCTCTAAAGTAGGGGTGCCCAATACGTCGATCGCAAAGGTAGTGTGTTTTGTTTTTTTTAATATAAAGTTAGCCTATCATCCATCCTTACCATGGCATTTGCCACTTGATTGACGTACAGCCAGGTAAGCCAGTCTGAGTTGTATTGTGCCATACGGGTTCATGCAGTTATGAGGGGGCCTCACCTCCTCATCTAAAGCGCAAATGCGGCGCAATTAGTGTAAGCACGCCACCGCGCTTGCGACACAGATTGGGCAGTTCGTAAAAAAATTTCTTGGTCATTTTAAAAGTAGCTCCCAAGCTGAAAAAGTGTGGGCACCCCTGCTCTAAAGCTAGCTTTTTGCCCCCATCTTCCCCATCATCCTTGTGCTAATACTTAGTATCTAACTGTCTCCTGGTTCCAGCTACAACAGACATATGTTCCTTTAACACACTCTCAGCTTCGCACCTAGGCACAATGCTTAATTAGCTGAATGTGAGAGGTATCACCCCAATTATGATTCACTGTGTGAGTCCTCAGCTAGCGACTCTCTATGTCTGTGTTGCCAGAGGTGATATTGAGTTTCCATGACAATTATACATGGATGTGGAGCTAACAGAAATGGGAACTCTGCAGCTTGTATTCCTGCTGTTTCCGGACAGAACACTACCCTGTCGTTTTTTTACACATGTCATATCCCTGCTCCAGAACGTGTTGCATGTTTCTCGTTACAGTTACGGTGTAATGTAAGCACGCTTGAGGCCAGTCTACGTTCAGCACTCATACTTATAAAGGCTGTCACAATAGGAGCGCTGATTTAGGATCACCTGTCGGGTCACATTAAAATGATTTGTTATTCCAGAGATAAAGCTGAGATTCTTAAACTTAAGTGTTTTATTTAATAATGCAACAATATTTTTCAAACCCTGCAGTCCAACTTTTAAATCAAATATGTTTGATGTTGGGGCTGTGCCCTCTTTATCCGCCAAGAATGCAATGTTGTTGTTTTTTTTATATTAATTGATATTCCCTCAGTAATACGTATAATCTTTCACACAAACTGCTGCATTTCTTTATCAAAAAGGAGAGAATGGGTTTGGTGTCCCCTTATTATTTGTATGTCTTATGTGTCCTTTTTCAACAAGACATGTTGACATTATGGAAAAACACAGATACTACACATAAGCAGAGAGCTAGAAGTGAATATTAATGTTGTCTTAAATATCTGCTATTATACACCAAATGCTTGGTATGTCTGTGCATTTTCACATAAATGATGGAATACCTTAAAAAAATTCTGCTATTTAAGTCCATCAAATGTTGTCCCTCAATGTTGAAAACGAAAGAAGTGTTACAATAATACATTTTATGTATCAAGTGCTCAAAGACGCTTTACAAAAAAAACATGAAAGTCAAAATTAAATCGAGCTTGCATTTATTAAGAATCAATATTATTTCCACATTAAAAGCTGAGTTTTACTCATTGTTTTGAAGGAGAGGCGGGTGCAGTCTCTGATGTGTTTTGGGACATTGTTCCAGAAGGAGGGGGCAGCGATGTAAAAGGCTCCGTCTAAAAAAAAAATCTAGTTTTCAAAATATGAGTGCTTTGGCTACATTTACTGTATCTGTTCACAAAGTTGTCCTATTAAAAGCGACTTTATAACTTTGAGATGGTTTCTAATTGAGGAACATATGACTTTAGGACTCAATGTGAATTTAAAAAACAACATGAAAGTGAAAAAAAACCTACTGCATATAACTGCACAGTGAGGTAAGGTCACATGTTGGAGGATAGGGGGCAGTATAAGTATGGCTGTATAACTGCTATCCCAGCATGATAATTGTAGTTTTTGTATTACTACCCCAAACTTCCATAAGTGGGTCAAAAATGACCCGCATGCATTTCTATGGAATTTCGTTTTTTTTCAAAATGTAAAAAAAACGTCTAAAATTATAAATAGTGAAAACTTAAATATAAAATATTTCTAGTGTGAACCAAAATATAATACTAAATATTATACAAGTGATTTTTCTTAACCAAAATGGCATAAAAGCACATATTATTCTAATACGTGTCCTTTTTGACCCACTTATGGAAGAGTGTAGGGTCCAGTCACTCGTGCATCCAAGGGTTAAATAAAAGTATGCTATTCAGCTATACTGTCTTTTCAAAAATAAACTTCAGTAGTTCACATCTTTCAAACATTCCATTTCCATTCCTTTCTGAAGGTTTTTAAAGAGGGGTCAGTTGATAAATCATTTTTAGCCTGAAAGATATTACAAATGAATGGCTGAATACATTAATTGATGGCGTTATTTAAAGAGATATCCCAAATTCCCTCCATTAAAATATTCAACTCTAATAACAAAATGACACAACCTGACTATCTACTGTATACATTTCTGTTCCTACCAAATGTATACAAATCAGCACATATCAAATAAGATAATTCATCAGCGTATTTAAACATAACATTTCAGATAACTTGTTGTACAAAAGAAAGTTGTCTTAATGTATGTAATAAACCAAAGGAGTTTCATGCTTATATCTTTAAGTTAAAAGTAATATTTTCTGTTGTCTCCTAATCATACAATTTCACAACATAAATTAATAAATAAGTTGTCGAGGCTTCTTTCACCGTATCACAGATAAACCAGATACCTTTACTAAATACGTCTCCGCTGAGATGCCATCACAATAAATAGGTTGCTTATGCATTGAAGGGACACTCGCACACATTGAGAGCCTGCCATGTGGTTTCCAGTCCTAACAAACCAGAGTGGAGACAGGGTGACTCATCAGCAGATGGCTATGTGTGGCACCTCTCCGGCACCAGGAGCCCTTATGCTTTTACCACCTGGAAGAGGCCCGGGTGACACATCCTCGGCCACACGGGACACACAGGAAGGACCGGCACATATCCCAACATTTCTCCTCTTCTCTTCTTTGCTGCTTCTGCATTACCAGCCTGCTCTGTGCTGGCAGCTTCCCCATCCTTTCCCTCTCCGTCCTGTCCATCTCAATCTCGTCCTCTGCCATCCCCTGATGAACTCCCCTCTTTGGCAGAAACAGGACATTTGGTATCTTTTCGTAACAACTGTTTTAATCAGCATCACTAGGACAAAAATGTATAAATAAAACTCAAATCTTTAATACCGTTTATTTTCTGTTAACCTCTTTTGTTTTAAAATCTGATCTTTATAAGCTGCGTGGTTTATGCAACAGTCTGTAAAAAGACAAAACTTTAGGCAAGGCAAGTTTATTCATATAGCACCTTTCAACCCAAGACAATTCAAAGTGCATCAAATGTACAATGAAATGCACATGTCTACCATTTCCTAGACTAGACAGGTGTATATGATCCTAAGTTAAAACAATTATGAGGAAACCATAAAGTTATTAACAGCATAGTTGTTTTGTAAATGTTTGCCCAGAACTGTTTGTACTCTGCATGTTTCATGACGGACACACGACGTTGCACCTGGTCAGGTAGTGCAGGTGGTTGAGTCAGGGCCGATGCAGACTCACTGTTAGAGCGCTTGTTAACCCACTCCCCACTAGTTTTTTTGGAATGGCACTTACTGTGGGAACACACAAACGGAGTGAAAGTGTGTGAGGGCAGTTTGGAATTAGGCCTACCTCTCCACAGACACACACTACCCCTCCTCCCCCACCCCTCAGGTCTCAGGCATCAGTAACAGGCTCCAATCGGCTTGGCCAGCTCACACCTCCCCCCCCCCCGCCCTCCTTTCTGTGTATCCTTGCTTGTCTGGGTTATATTGGGTAGATAAATTAGCACAGTGCCCCACTCTCCTAATGAGGACATGGTCACATGACAGGCGTTTTCCTATGCTTAAGTTAAGCAGTTTGAGCGATCGATTCCATTATCTCCCGTGTGCAAGAGTCAATGGAACCCGTTCTGAGACCTCCTGGGTATGTACCAACTATATTCACTGGATTCTCCACTCTCTTTTACCCAGGAGCAATTGCATTCGCTTACGGTGTCTAGCTTTACTTTAAATTGAGGTTTGTTTTGAAGGAAGAGACGGCATAATGTGGGAAAGCCGCATGCATAATCAAACATTTTTTTCTGTGCAAATGGAGTCTATTACTAGGGAAATAGTGAGGTGGGCTATTTGTTCTATTGGGGCTCTTTAGCAAGTGAATCAAAGGAGATATAATGGCAAGTTTTTTCTGTTAGAAGCTTCTACCGGCTTGAGCTCTGAACATTCAGGTGGCTGATTTCTCATGGTAAAGCCTTGATTTTCCAATATGTTCTGCCTTGAAAGCCTTCAATCTTTTGGATAGTGGTTGTGGAAGCACTATCATTCGATTCTGTTAGAGGATTGTGAAAGGCAAGAGTTGTATTTCTAAAGTAAAATACATTATCAACAACACTGACGTTTGCTCTCATACGAGCCGAATAAAGAGATTTGAACACAATGGGTCTGTCGGAGATGAGTTTGAAAGCATTCATCAAGGTAACAGGTAATTTCTCAGCAGTGGCCATAGCGTCTTAACAGGCCACTTGAAAATAGCCCTCCTTTGTTTTGACACCAGATGGTACAGCCGTCATTAGGCAGCAAGGACAAGCTTCTGAAATGGAGCGAGCTGTGTGTCACTTTACACACTAGCTTTTCACAGACGCATCATACACTTGCAAGATCATCTCACTGCTATAGTTTGATGCAGCAAAAGTCGGTGGTTTTGCTGAGGGTGGATTTGGAGCCGATGAGGAGGAGTTTAGTCAACTTTGTAACACCCATGGTGTTCCCGGTGGCGTGGGAAAATTACCGCCATAAAGAAAAGGAATTAGTAACCATCCTGACCAGATAAAACACACACACTAGATGTGTGTGTGTGTCCCTTATGTGCCCATCCCCCCATGTGAATCACACTTGGAACTCACAAACACACACACAGAACAATTTGATACATTTCCCGCTCTTATGTGCCCATCCCCCCACATGGATCACACCTGGCACACGCAATACATGTTCAGTGTCTATTATTTGTATATTTACTGCAGTTGTTCATGTATACCAGTAGTCTGATACAATATTTACAGTTTGAAAGGGTGTTAAATTAAATTTGGTGATAATGGTTGGATGTAATAGCAGTTAAAACAGGACCGGTCAAATTTGACCACGAACACCAAAGTAAGAGGGGGAAAACAAAGACAATAGGAGGGTTAAAAAAGAAAACGGATAACTTTTGTCCAACTTGATCTAGTAAGCTAGTACATGTTTGTTTTAGCTTGAGGATAGTTTTAGGCTGCTTTCAAACTGTCTAATAAAATCCAAAAGGTTTATAAAAGAAGTTAAAAAAATAAAACTAATAATTTTTGTCTCACATGTTGGCCTAGTTTTTAAGCACGTGTTTATGTTAGCTATTGGATCTTTTTTTGGCTAATGCTAACTCAATTATTACTGTTGTAACTATACCTCCGTGCATTACCACGTCTTTCTGAATTGATTTACTTGTAGCCAGGGAAAACAAAGATGGATTCCAATAATGTGGATTTGTCCAACTGAGTTGCAAATAATGCTAGCAGCTCAACATTTGTTTTGGCACGTGTAGGACCACATGCTTCACTTTTTATTTGTTGTATTTAGTCCAGTTGATGGCATATGCACCTCAAGCTGGTCTGTCAAGACAAACAAATCATTGTTTTGAAGAGAGGTTTTGTTGTTACGGGCGTTACGCACATATAAACCACAATTTGAGCTGCCAGATAACATGTAGCAGGCTACTATAAAAATGTATTATTTCCTTCATATTGGATTGTATTGGTCTTATAATGATTTGGTCAGGACTCGGTCCGCTTTTGGTGCCTAAAGTAGGCCTAGATCCACACGTACACACACACACCTCGCTTGACTCAGACCAAGATCAAGTGAAATGAGCACTCCAGGACATGTTTCTAATCTTCACCACTGTACCCTTGATCAGAAAGAGTGGATTTGGTTTTACACTCTAAGCAGGGACTTGGTGGCCCAGATACGCTGCCTGATGACATTCTGGAAGAACAGGGAGAGGAAGAGGACATATGGCCACATATTCTCTTGAATCATACCAGGATCTGCTAATGCTAACATTTCACTTTCGCTGTCTTTACACGTGCTGCATGAGTAGTTGTACTCCATATTTGCTAACAATGTAGACCCAGATATGTCACACATTCCCATAATAATGACATAATCGGACAGTTTAGACTTCAGGCGTATGGCCACAGGTCATACATGTATGGGATTTAGCATAAGATTTAGGTGAACGCATAAATGTCAAATCCAATCTGCGAGGGAAAAACATCAGAATTCAGTATGCTTTTCAACTGCAGATTGAACCTGGCATGTGAGATGAATCTACAACCACTCGACTTACTGACACTCCTGTGGCTTAATAATCATCAGAAGCTGGATAGAGATTGCTTTAGTGTCCTTAATGCTGTATGTTATGTCAACGCCAGAATGTAGAAACTCCCCAGGGATCATAAATACTCTGTGATGCCTGATATCACCACAGTAAGTCTGTTCACATGTCCTCTAACATGACTAATGTGCAGATGGACACACACAAATACATGCAGAGACAGGATTTGCATTGAAGCTACTCACTTCTCGTCTACTAAAGAGAGGTGCAGGAATAAGTCCTAAAACTCGAAAAAGACTAAGCATTTTCACCACTTTTGATTCCCCCCGCTTCGAAGTCAAGGGCCTTTTTAACGTGTTTGTGGTTGTGCAATTGAGAGAACTAAACGTCATCGCGCCGAACGTTAGCTCACTTTAGCTTAGCGGTGGTGATGCATCCGTACGTGCTGTAGTTCGCTTGTAGCATTATGTTAGCTTTTTATTTCTTCTGATAGCGTTTAAGCTTCAAAAAACGGTCTGTGTTGTGTAAATATGTGGAGATTATCCTTTTAAATTGAGCTCATATTCTGCAATATACCAAAATCCCTTTGCTTTTTGACAAGAGAGCCCTTGCGGCGTTAACTTCCGGGTCGGCCCACAACAATTCATCATCACTGCACCACTCTACAGCCCATATCTGTTCCCAGAGGAGAGTTATTGATGAGGCTTCATCTGGACATGTATACTGCAGTGTTGGTACATGTGCTGTATGTTGCAAACAGTACAGTATTTGTGCATATATGAATATGTGGTGGTTAGATTTGTTGCATGTTTAATTGAACAGGGATGGAGATAAAAAATGATGAATTATGCTTGTCAGTGTATGTTTTGGTCATTGGATTTTCTTTTTACAAATGGATATTAAAAAAAACAAAAACGACTGGATATTTAATTTTTTCTTTAAAATTGAAAAACCAATATTGAAATATATATATATATGTATGTATGTATATATATATATATATATATATATATATATATATATATATATATATGGCGTTTTTCTTTATCATGGTCAAAAAGGGATTTACTAAACTTAAAAAACGAGATGATTTTCATTTTCTACTTCTCAAAAACAAAAATCACTAGAAAACAGAAACAAAAAAACTACAGTTTTTTTCATATTCTGCTACCGGAAGTTACCTTACAAAATAAGAGCGCAGACCAAACTCACGGAAGTGATTTCAAAACAAAAGCACTCGTAGGCTATGCTAAAATCACACTTTGAATTACTATCCTGTTGAAGGAACTGTGATTATTATAAACAAGGGGAATTTAGCGATCACAATGAAAACGGCCAAGACACACTTTGAGCCCAGAAAGCGAATGTTATTAAGGGCTGTAAATATAATAAGCCTGTGTCTAAAATGAACAACATTGTTAGGAGATTTAAACTATACAGCGGTTCTGCACTGCGGTCAACTCAGCCGTCTCTCGAGCTTGTTTTTTCAAATCAGCTGCTCTTCATTTTTTTCCTGCTATATTTGACGAGTGATACAAATATTTTTTACCACAAGTTCTTAAGGAAACTGACACTGTTGGACTCGGTTCTAGTTTGACTTCTACCAGAAATAAAATTAAGTACTTTTACTGTGTACTTTGTGAGTAATCCTCTGTCAGAATCCCCTCCATAGTAGGCTACATAATGCATGTTTTTCTGCGATCTTTGATGAATGATACAAATACAATTTTACCATTTAGTAAGGTAAAAAGCAAAAACGCTTCACAGACGCTCTTCCGTTTACTTGTTTGATAAAGAAAAACAAATGGACCGTAGATACACAGATTTTTGACCTCATCTGCGCTCTTATTTTATAAGGTAACTTCCGGTAGCAGAATATGAAAAAACTGTAGTTTTTTTGTTTCTGTCTTCTAATGATTTTATTTTTTGTTTTGAAAAGTAGAAAATGAAAATCATCCCGTTTTTTAAGTTTTTTACCATGATAAAGAAAAACGCCTTGTATTTCATTTTTGGTTTTTCAATTTTGAAACGAAAATTAAATATCCAGTCAATTTTGTTTTTGAATATCCATTTGTGAAAAGAAAATCCAATGACCAAAACATACACTGACCTATGCAGTGTTCTGTATGTTGATTATTAGCCATGAATTCATAAGAACCGAGTCGCGTGTGTGTGTGTTCATAAACATCCCCTTTGCATTTATGCTTTTGTAGTTTTGCTTTTTCCAACACTTTTGAAAGTCTACCCACAATTAAATGGCATGCGATTTTGCACAGCTGTGTGCATGCTGGGTATTGTGACTTTACCAAGAAAACATTTGCTTCGTGGTCAAGATAGACAGAATAGGCGTTTGCATTTAGTAATAACATTTTACATATTTCAGTTGAAACTTGGTTTAAATGACAAATGATGTTGTCCTCTTTCTTTCATCATCACTGTTGATAGAACTTTGCCTTTCCCTAGCTTGTTAGCTACAGTTCCCAGCATATGTTTCTTTAGATTGCTGCCATGTGCTTCGCCAACTCAGCTGTCAATCAAACACTTCCATTTGGAAAATGTCA